ATACCACTTCACCAAGGAAGGCGCATGCGCCTCTCTTAACGAAGTAGACGTCTTTTACAGAGGTGGCCCCACGAGGCCATCATGCACCTCAGCTAAGGAAATTTTCCGAGGTGGAAAGTATCATCTTCAAATGATTGATGGGACGACCCCTATGGGGGTGTCACGCGCCTCTCCTATCAAAGTGGACATCCTTTGTTACGATGATCATGTGGGGCGTCACGCGCATTTCCTATCAAAGTGGACATCCTTAGTTGAGGTGACCTTGTGGGGTGTCATTCACCTCGGCAAGGGCGTTGGTTTGTAGGAACAACAACAAAAAACTAATTCATTCTATTGACAATATTTACATGACCGAAGTTAGCCTTCACAATTTCCCTACTGATAATACTTCTTCAAATGTTCGATATTCCAAGGATGAGGCATTAACATTATGTATGATATGACGGTTTGAGTACGAGGCTCAGATTGTTATAATCATAACATTTTAGTTCTCTATAATCATGATAGTATTAAATGTTACATGGTCCTATCCAAAAATATTTATTATTATAGTTATTTTTATTACTAAACTCTATATAAACTTTAATAAAGATAATACGACCTTATCAAAATAAAGTTTCCGACTTTATTTAGTGGTCACAGACAATTGAATTTGATCACTTTAAAATAAAAAAAATTCTATACGTAACAACTTAAGTACTCGATTTATAATATATCAAAGATCAAGATACATTTTAATATTTGATTAAATATTAATTGTATTTATATAATATTTAAATAACATAAATGAATATTTATTTGTTCAAAACACATTGTCAAATAACACATTTGGACATATATCCCAGCAATTTTATATTCAAGAATGAAAATACTAAATGTACATTTTTACTTACATTATGATTGACATCCCCTATGGGCACAATGAGGTAGTGATGTAAAAAGGTGTTGGGAAAATCAAATGAGATGATAGTGTCCACATGGAAGAATGTAAACAATAATGTAAATCATAATATACTCATAGCATGATTGATTCAAGAAAGTGTAGGTTCTAAAAATGGTATGTCACAATTTTTTAAGTC